TTTGAGAACATTTTAAAGTAATAAAATGTTCTCAAATAAGAGAACCTTATTTTAAATATCAATGTTCTTAAAAAAAAGTTATGTTCTTTGAGAACTATGAGAACACTGAATTTTAAACACTGTATGTATGATATGTAATTAATTAAAGCTGATTCATTTATATAATTTAATAATTGTTCATATAACTTGATTGAATTGATAAAACAACATTTCAAATATGACATTAATTGTTTAAGCAAAATTAATGGCATATTTTGTCAAGAATAAGACAATTTAAATAACCCTTTAAAGTAAGCTATGTAGGTTTATTAGTTTTATAATTACCAGTATTTTTCATTTTGATTCGCTCATCTTGATTTATTATATATAATGAGTATAAAAATGCTAATACAGTATATAAATAAATGGTTACAGCGAAACCTCCCTAAAAAATATATGCAAAACTTATTTTAATTAATTTTACAGTAAAAATAGCCTGATAATAGAGCCATTCTTGTTTTGCTTTCTAAGCAAAAGTAAACAAGCTTTCCATCAGATTCATCAGAATAGATATTATAAATTGGTTCTACTTTAATTAGAAAAATGAAATAATCCTTTTTTCCTTGGATTTTTTGTAATTTATTTTCTAATTCTTATTTTTCAAAATATGCATATACTTTTTATCTTCTATAATAATATGTTTAGGAAGTATCATTGTTTCTTTCTGATGACAAATTAGGAGGAGAATTTTGATTTCTGTTACTATTTTCGCAAGTTTTAAGAGATTGAATTTGTTGTTGGAGTTGAATGATTTGTTGCTTAATTTTTTCAATTTCTTGGTCTTTACATTGATGTACTTGATTAATATCTCGGACTATTTTGGCTTGGTGCTCCTGGGTATGGTTAACTAAAACAAGCATGTGTATATTAGGAAGATTAGCCAAAAAAGAAAAATTGGTAATGCCACTTCCTCTAAATCCTATAGCAGTAAGGTAAGGTCGAGGCGATGGTCCCAAACTTAAGCTTGTTAGTAGAGGATTATTTCCTAAACGTACTTCAACCAAATTAGGATACTCTGATAAATCCAGGTGACCTTCTAAATTCTTTCCAATAGCAAAAATTCTATATATGTGCTTGGGGAAACTGCTTTCTATATATTGTTGAGCATTCACCATATTGATTGTTTCTAATTATTTCCTCTTTTATTTATTTACATAATAACCTAATATGATAATTCTACGTACGTACGTACGTATGATCTTCTATCAAGTTTTGAATACTTGGCGCTAACTTATCGTTTATATACGTACGTACGTTACCTAATTGGCGTTGTGCAACACCATGAGGCACAGCAGTACTGTGCATATTAACATTAACCATAGCTGCCGCAACAAATTTGGACCGGCAGATCCGATTTTGATTGGCTAACGGCCGAGGATCTTCGAAATTTTGGCCCACATTACAAAATTGGGTACTAATTTCCGGCCGGAATTAACTTTTTAATTTTTTTATTACAAAAATAGAAATTCTTAAAAAATAAGCCCGCATTATGGTAAAATTGACCCAGGAACAATTTTCATTTAATGGGCGGCTATGATTTCATTAGTAAAATTATGAGTAATTCCGGCCTAATCTTTTTATCGTCGCTCTTAGCCAATCAAAATCGAGGATATGCCGGTCCAAATTTGTTGCGGCAGCTATGGTTAATATTGTGCATGGCTTTACTTATTTGTGTCAGTAATACAAACCCTAAGAAAGAAACAACCAACAGCAAATTTGATTATATTAATAAATTCGAAAGTTTTTTAAAACTTTTTGCAATAATTTCTCAGTGACTACCTGATTAAATCGGTAAAAATTTTATAATTTTAATTCTATAATATTATATAATTAAAATAAAAAAAAAAGTTCATTGAATTTAGCTCAGTAGTTGGGAAATCATTGCGAAAAGTTTTAAAACATTAAAACATCATGAAAAAAAAACAAACTCGGGTGAATTTTGAATAGCTAGTTGTCGAGAAATATTCATTGAATGAGATTACTTGGCACTTACCTAGCAAAACTCAGTCAAATTTTTTTTTATTTTAATTCTGAGCTTATAAAAAATTTGATCGAATTTGCCAGGTAAGTACAGAATAATATTCGTTCAAAATTTATCCGCCTATAAAAAAAACGCAGTGTACAAATTTTTCAAATTTTTTTAGCTTTAATGAATATTTCTCGACAACCAGCTATCCAAATTCGGATAATTGGTAGACGAGAAGTTGTCGTTTAAAGTCTTTTTTAAAAATAATTTTAAGAAAAAGAAATATTGCACCAAAATTCTTATTTAAAGTTTAAATGAAGATTTCTCACAACCAAATATCTGAATTTGATTTTTATTTTAATTCTTTGGATTCATAAAATTAAATAAAAAAATTTTGATTGAATTTGAATAGCTGGTTGTCGAGTAAAAATTAAAAAAAATTTGCCGATGCATCTTTTTTAAAGATATCAAGATTACTCGGCACTTACCTAGTCAAATTCGATCAAAATTTTTTATCTTAATTTATATGCTCATAGAATTAAAATAAAAAATTTTGATCGAATTTACAAGGTAAGTGCCGAGTAATCTTTATATCTTTAAAAAAGATGTTGCAGCTAAATTTTTTTACAGCTGTTCTCATAAATTCTGGGACAACTGATAAAAATTTGGCCGAAATTAATTCTGCCGAATTCGATGAGCTTTTGACATAAGATATATTTCGGTGTTACAATATAAGTCGTTATACAATATATATATTATTAATATTGCTTATCGTTATTGTACGTCGTTGTAAAGGGCCCGGGTGACCGCGATCTAAATTTTCTTTTTTTTTTATTATTTTTATTTTATTATTATTATTATTATTATTATTATTATTATTATTATTATGCTTTTATTTATTTTTGCTGTTACGAAGTTGTGACAGTATGCGATTATTAAAAATAGGAATTTTATACCTTGGTGCAAATTGCACCTGGGCAAATTGTACCCGGGCAAATTGTACCTGGGACAAATTGCACCTAGTTGTTTAAGTTAGGTGCGATTTTGCACCATATCGTTCCTCCTATTCCAAAATTGGTTGAAATTAGTACCTAACAAATACATTAGAGTAGCAGAGTATGTAAAAAATACCAAAATGATGAATTTCAAACTAATTTTCGTATCATAGAAATTATTGGAATGAATATAAAATACAAATAATCACCGGAATTATGACTTTTATAGCCTTTTATTTATTATCCCATACGCTAAAGTTATAAGATGTTAACTCCGTCAATGATACTTTCAAAACGTATTCGTTGGCAAATAGTCCAAGTGGCTCTAATAATAGATGAACAACCCAATGATTCCTTGTTTGTTTGTTAAATCTATTGTTTCAATAGGTTTACTTAATTCATACTAGTTTTCTTTTTGTCCTATAAAATTTTTACTAAATATAAGCTATATCGACATTGTCAATAAGAATAACAATACAAAAATATAAAAATTTGCCTAAAGGCTGTTGTTCATATTCCTCAATACATCCTCGACAAATATTAATAAATTCTTGATTTTTTGTAACCTCGACTTGAGTTGCATTCCTTCTGAGCCAATTAACAAAGTCTTGATCGTACAGTATTTGACCTTTTTTTATTAGTGCCAGATCGTGTAATATGTTTATTAAGAAAGTTTGATTTATGACTAGAACTTCTTTTGCGTTTCAAGTGCGAATCTGTTGGTTGACAAGAACAATCATTGCCGTAGGTTTTCGTACAAACTAAGCATGTCATACAAATTGGACAAGCTTAATAAAGATGGTTGAATCGACATTTTTTACACTATCGTGTTAGAATAAAGTAGTACACGTGATACAGAAATTTCTTTTTATACTGTAATCAAAAGCTTATCGTTCGGCAGAATTGATTTCGGCCAAATTTTTATCAATTGTCCCAGAATTTATGAAACAGCTGTAATTTTTTGATATTTTCGACAACTAGTTATTCAAATTTCGATCAAAAATTCTAATTTTAATCCTATGAACCTTCAGAATTTAAAATAAAAAAGTTTCATTAAATTTGGATAGTTGTTTGTCGAGAAATCATCGTTTAAAGTTCAAAGAAAGAAAATTTTACTCACTTTTTTTCCAAGATATTTTAAATTTTTTAAACCTTTCGCAATGATTTCTCAGCAACTAATGAACTAAATTCTATGAACTTTTTTTTTATTTTAATTTTACAATACTATAGAATTAATGTAAAAGATTTTTTTTTAAATTTAATCAAGTAGTTATTAAGAAATCATCGCTAGAAAATTTTAAAAAAACTTTCAAATTTATTTATAGGATCTTCAATTTTACCAGCACATAGTTACAAAAAATGCGCGGCAGGTCCTCGATTTTGATTGGATAACGGCAGAGGATCTTCAAAATTTTGGCCCGCATTACATAATTGGTTACTAATTTCCGGCCGGAATTAACTTTTTAATTTTTTCATTACAAAAATATAAATATTTAAAAAATAAACCCGCTGATAAAATTGGCCCAGGAACAATTTTCACTTAATGGGCGGCTGCGATTCATTAGTTAAATTATGAGTAATTCCGGCCTAATTTTTTGATCGTTGCTCTTAGCCAATCAAAATCTAGGATCTGCCGGAATTTTTTGTGCGGCCTAGGTTCAATTATTCAATGAATCATTATAAAGTGATAGATCACCAAAAATAAAAATCATAACACGTTTCAGTAGAACTTTTAAAAGTAAGTTAACACATACAACAGCATTGAGACATTGCCTGATGCTGTAAATGGTCTAGAAACATTTAAATAAAAGAGTTTATTCGCATTGTCATTAGAAAGTTGACCACCACTAAAATAGAGTTTTCTTACTAATAAGGACTGAGGAATGAATCCATCTCTCACTCGGAATAAAAAAGCAGCAAAAGTAAAATAAATTTTATGTGAAAATGTAAAATATAGAATATAACATGTGGCGTTGAGATAAATACTGCATAAACAGAATAACATTCAAATATCTTGTAAATTGTATAAATAACAGATCAAAATCCCTTAATATATATTTTTGAAATTTGAACTTCTACTAAATAACATTTCGATATTTTAATCACTTTCTTCAATTTATGAGCTAAGTTTATACAAATTTATATATATATGTTTAGTTATATAATGGCAAAAGAATAAAATATCTCATAATCTCGCGGCCTCTATTATCATATCAAATATCATTAGGAATTACACACTGTCTAATGATTCATTTGCTAATGCCTTTGTGATTTTTCGCGTATTAATAGGCTTTGAAGAGTATGGAATATGTAAGCTCTGCAACTTGGAATCTCTAAACGCTTCTGATATCCTATGCGTGTTGATAAGCTTTGAAGTGTATATGTGATCCAAACGTTTTTGCGTGGCGACCTGTATTTCCCTGATCTTCTCATCAGCTATTAAAAATTGCTTTTTTATTGTATTGTCATTCGAATTTTTTAAACTTTCATTCCATGTTTTAAGTCTTAAATAAATATCGTAACTAGTGGTCGTTTTTGTGAATCATAATCCATGCATTGTAATGCTAATTCGACGTAACATTTAGGAGTTCCCGGAGCAAATTCTGGTCGTAGCCCCATACAAATCTTGACTGCAAGTTCAGTATTGAATGAATAACCATCAAAAGGTTTTTGTCCGGTTGACATCTCAGACATGATAACTCCAAATCCGTAAATATCAGCTGCTTTTGTAATTTTTTGTCCCTGCAAAACTTCTGGTGCAACGTAAGGCATGACTCCATAAATATAGTTATCAGATATACTCTCATTTATATTTTTAGATAATCCTAAATCTGAAATGTAAGATTTTATTTTATCGTTAATACCTTTATGTAGTAAAATATTACCACTATGAAAGTCCGCATGAATGTATCCTGCCGCATGAATTTTAAATAACTCATCTGATATATCTTGAAGTAAGATTAATTTAATGTTCCATGAAAGATTTTGAAAATTTTTTTGTAAAAACTTATAAAGATTTCCATTATCAGCATATTGAAATACCATCAAGTATTCGTTTGTTTTTGGGTTTTGAGTTAATCCATATATTTTAAGATTATTACCCTTTAACATGCACTCCACATAATTACTAAACTTAGTAGGTAGATAAACAAAT